TAGTGCTTGTAAGTGAGTCCCATTTTTTATTTTTTTTATGATTATCCTGTCGTTTGTGAAACTCATTCTAACAAATTTGTTGCATGCCAGAAAAAACGGAATTTGTTGTTTATCTCGTTGTAAAGAACAAGGTATTTTTTCTTAAAGTACCACGGATTATCAGTACATTTATGCCGATTTATTTATATTTATCAAACTTACGTCAAATAAAAGTCTTTCCACATAAATGTTTTTGGTTTGGGAATATATTTTTTACCGAACTAAAAGTATTGACACAGCGTCGGACTGGTAAATCGGATTTCACAATTTGGTATGTGACTGGCTAAATGCTAGAGATTCAATCCCCCACAGTCGGCCTAGTTGTTTTGGAATTGCTCGGTTCCACCACAGAGGCATGCGTTTTTTTATTCCAAAGGTATTTCGTTTGCAATTGACCTCTAACAAACGCTGGAATTGAAAGCAGAATTCAAATCAGAATGTTAAGGATATATTTAACAAGGAAGCAACCAATAGGTCAAATCTATACTAATATTATAACTAGGAAAGATTTGTTTTTTTGGATTTGTGTATGTATTGAAACAATTTAAAAAGTACTTGACCGATTTCAAAAATACTTTCACCATTAAAAAGCTACGTTATCAGTGTGTAACATAGGATATGTTTTTATCTTTTAATTTTATGCAGACGAAGTCGTAAACAACAGCTAGAATATAACAATTACCAACATCTGAAATAAATGTATCAAAGTATAGCTATCTTCAAATCTGTCTGTCTTCTCTAAGACTCTTTGGAGATCCCGGGACTCTCCAGATTCACTTAAGGATTTGGCCTTCATTCCAATAAATAAATGTCCATAGAGCTACAAAACATTTTTATATATCTATGGCCATTATCGCCGAAAAACGTCAGGTTAGATTACGTAGTTATTTTTTATTAATTCGCACGCTATAGCTAATTTTATATAAATCCCTGTAATATAAACCTATAGGGTGTTCTGTTAGGTGAATTGTATTACCATTATTCATTGTTACGTGAAGGCATCGGTTGAATTAAATCGGAAATTAATCCATCAGCTTAAGGTCACTTCCTTGTATGACTTAGCGTATATTGTATACAATGAAATGTATATTGTATAGTTTTTACTCTGAGTCGATTAATTTGAAGTAATTTATTGTAGCAATCGCACACAAACAATCGACTATCGCACAACTGTACTGCGATTGTCGGTTGTTTCGCAGCCAATTCAACTGATTAGTTGCACAAAAAATCGAGTAGTGTTCGCTCCATATAAGCTCATGGGAATCAAAGCGAGATTAAACGGTTGTGCGATAGTTTAGTTTTAGGCGCACGCTCTTAAATGTAAAGTTTAAACCAAATCAATGTTTTGCAATATTTTGTTCAGTAATATAAGCCTAATTTTAGTCCCTTTAAGAAAGGATGGGAAGGAAAAGTGGATTTGATGATGGAGGAGACGCATGTCTTCATGTGCGTCTCCTCCGTCAATTAAGGGTAGGCAACGCTGCAATTGCGGATAATTATGGGCAGCGGTCGCTTTCCATTTCGGTGGATTCAGGCCGCTTACTCGTTTGCCACCTTATATTATAAAAAAATGTCACGGCCGTCGGCAATAATGGGTTATGAAATAAAAATCAAATATTCCGATTACGTAGGCCAAAATTTTTATTTTATTTTTAAAAAAAGTATTTTGTACAATTTTAACTAATTCAAATAGTTTAATGTTGCGATAACATTACACAACTAACTTTATCTCACTCCGGTAAAACGTTACAATTTAACTAACAACTAAAATTACGTCACCAACTTCCAAAGCTTCTATTTACCTAAAATACATATTTTTAACAGTTTTCACTCATTACAAAAGTAGCAGTTACTATTTACATAAAACTTTAATCTACGTATCACAGAAAAAATAATTATACGATGCGTAATGTGAAAAAAATATTGATTTCAAACAGACATTCAAATCAAATATAGACGCGGCAGTGAACGAAATTTTTCACCGGTACTTTCTCTGAATGGTACTGTCAGTTATCAAGTTTAGTGCCACCTCGTGTATTGACATTTATGAAACATTTTACAAAATTATAATTATCTCCATCTTTTATTATAAAAAATGGACAATGTTACAAAATAGAATATAAACATTTAAATGTTATTTAATGACATATTGGCAATTAATTCAAATACTAAATATATAAATGATATTGACATGTGTTTTTGAGGCTAACAATAGATAACTATGCCTCCTCTATTAATTTGAACGTCTTTGTTTTAGTCAATGAAATTCACACATTACACGTACTAGAGCGATGCAGTAAGAAATATACCATTTAATAAGTACAGAACTCCATTGACTTATAACGTCACTGCAGCCAGACGCCCACAGATAACATATCCATATTATAAAAACCGACTGACTATAACTAATAGAATATTATCAAACACATCGAAAAATATACAAACAAAAGAAAAAATAAGGCGATTGTGATTCGAACTCTGTGTTTTCACTGTTTTTACAGTTTCAATTCTGACGTCTAGTGTAAGTGTTTTATGCCGATAACACTTATGACACTCTAGGTAAGAAGACGAGTAAAATGACACCTCGTTTTTCAAAATCGGTTCAGTCATTTAGGCTGGAGGTTATTACAATGGAAACAAACTTACATCGCACTCAGAATATAACCGTATTTATCAGTAGGGTATATACATACTCTACGAGTGGTTGTCTACAAGGACGTTTTGTGACGTCATCCAAAGCTTTTTATGCACACGTAGTAAAAAAAATGTTTTTTTATTTTTTTTTAAAGGGACTTTTGTTCCTTAAAACATGTCAGTCCCATAATATTTTAAACTAAATACCGAAACTATACAATTATAAACAAACACAATACAAAACAAGAAAATGAAAAAAAAAATAAAAAAAGCAAAAACATTTCTAACAAATTGCTATAAGGCCCTTAACACCATGTAGCGGACTTCGTCTGCTAGGTCCGTCAGTGGCTCGGCCAAAGCAAAAAAAAAATTGTTATGTTGAAAATTGTTTTCATTATAATTTCATGCACATTTTCTTTGTACATATTAATCGGTATATTTCAAGATACTGCAAATGTAGAGGAAAACCTCATAATTGTATAAACAGACGCCTAAAAACCTGATTTAAAACAATAGCGAGCGTTAAGCGTTTATGTATATGAAATTCGTCTTTTCACAAGTTGAAACAGGGTAGAAAATCGCATGAACGAATTTAATTACATACTTTAGAGACGGATGGATCTAAGCGATTTAATTTCTAACGATATGAAATTTTTATACATAGTTACATAGTACAATTTTCACAAATATTCCTTTTAAATAATTCAATTTAGAACCGTTATCAAGGAAAAAAAATAAAAACATTTTTACTGACAAAAAAAATACAAAAAAAAAAAAAACAAAACATTTTAATGAAATAAAAAAAAATTCTCGGCCAAAAGATGATGCCAGCTTGTCACTAAAGGCCGCGCTAGTTTTCAGCCTCCCCTTTACAGAAAAAAAAATAATTTACACTAAATACGCCTTAGCGGTGCGGAAAATTCGGGTATAGTTAGCGATAACACATTGACAATATTTTTTATTAGATGACTGGTGATATTGGACTAAGCTTGTAACCTTAAGAACGCTAAAGTGACTAAACTATCGCACAACTGTTTAGTCTCGCTTTGATTTCTATGAGCTTACGAGGTACGCACTACTCGACTTTTAGTTGTGCAAAGAGTTGTATTATTAAACAATCGTATAACAGTTGTGCGATATTTTAGTTTTCAATGTGCGCCAGCTCTAACTATTCTAGGTGTAGACCATCTGTTTACTAACTGGAAAGGACATTGCGTTACCGAATTTAACGAGGGTAGTCATTAATTTTACGAGTCACAATTTCCTAAGGTTGTTCAAGTAATCGATATTTTGGAGGTGAAGCCGGTATCGGAAATGTCTGTTGAATTGATGCCGTTATCAAACGACCAATCATTCGACCGTTTTCATATAGATAATTGTTATAACAACGCACTTTGTAAACTGTATAGTTTACTATAATTTAAGACTTTACTAGGTTTTATTTGTGTTTTTTTAAAGCTAAATAACGGTTCTTTGATAAATATATTTTACGATATTTTTCTAATACACTATTTTGCACAAATACTAAGTACTATTTTATGGTTAAAAAATAAAAATATATTTTGTGGAAATTGTTAGTTTTAGTACAAGATGAAATAAGAATCATGTTTGATAACGGTTCCAAATAATAAATTTAAAAAACATAAAATATTGAAATTTAACAATAATTCTACATACTGACTATTAATATCAAATTGTGGTTTAAAGTATTACAGAAAGAACAAGAATGAATTAGAAAAAATAATTTCGAAACACGAAAGTACCAACGCATATAAACTTACGGTCGAAAACAATAACAAGCCTTAACATTTTTTTTTATAAGAAAAGCGGGCAAACGAGCAACGGATCGCTTGATATAAAGTTATCCGACGCCCATGAACATCCGCAATGCCAAGGGTACTGCAGATGCGCTGCCGGCCTTTAAGGGAGGAGTTAGCTCTTTTCTTGAAGGCCCCTAAGTCGTAACTGTTTGGAAATACCGCTGAGGACAGAGTGTTCCACAACGCGACTGTACGAGGTAAGAATGTGCGTGAAAACCTCGTCGTTGTGGAATGCCAACCATCGAGGTGGCATCGATGATATTTGGCACTCTGTCGACTCGTAAAACATTGATTCGAAGACTACTCTATATGGAATAGAGTGTAAAATTTATTTGCATAACAATATATCAAATTTCATCATTGTTATGTAAAAAAAAGAAGGTAAATTTTTATCAGTATTTAAAAAAATTGTAATAATCTATACTAATATTATAAAGAGGAAAGATTTTTATTTTTGTATGTATTGAAATAACTCAAAAACTACTAGACCGATTTTAAAAATTCTTTCACCGTTAGAAAGGTAATTTATCTATGACTAACATAGGCGACATTTTTTAATTTCACGAGGGCGAAGTCGCGTGCAGTAACTAGTTCTACATAAAGTGTTACAACTGAATCTAGATTTAAAAATATTCTTTGTCATCCATTATTTTGCAATCAACTGTACTATAATTACTATATGGCTCTACTTTCGTGTTTCAAAGTATGATTGGTTTAAAATCGATAAAAATAATTCCGATAGTCTATTTCCATGTCAAATGAAATAAAAAATGTAGGTTACACTAGTCAGTCTTAGATCGAAATTTTAAACAATTTTTGAGCATTGACTCTGAAAAAAATTAAACTCAAATAAAATAGTGAATTATTTTAGATATTTTAGTAAAGTAACGATATGTTATTAATAATACGTCATAGAGACATGATATGGCACTCTCGATAGTACATATTAATTTGATATATTTCATTCAAACATATGTGAGAATTAAAAATTACTATATATTTTGTAACTTAAGACACATAGAAAATAAACTAAAACTGCTTCGAAATAGACACTTATAGACAAGGTTTTACGGTTAATAACGCAAAAGCAATTAGGAATAAAATGAAATCCAAATAAAAAGAATGAAAAGTTACACTTCGATAAAATCTATGCAAAATCCACATCAATTATAACGAATATTCCATTAAATTCTAGAAAGTAATGTACAAAAAAAAATTACAACAATCTTATAGGATGACAAGTGTTAGTTTAATAGCAATGAATATTGACTAAAAGAAAATAATAACTAAAGCTTCACTGCAGAGACAATTGCATGTAATCGATTAGGGTTAGGTCACACTAGTTTAGTAATTTAGTCGAGTACCGAGTGAGTACTTGCGTAGTATGTGGAGTGTTTTGATAGTTGTACTATTACTATTTAGACTAAAAAAGGTTAGTACTTTAGCTTTTTAGCAAAGTATAAGACGATATTTGCAGAAAAATGGAACAGAACTTATTGAATCGACTAAATTTTTAGCTTTACAAGTCGACTAAAATTTTAGTATTTCTGATAATTTAGGTACTAAATTGGGACTCGACTAAATTATTAGCCTAGTGAGAATTAGCCGTTAATTACTGTAGATAGAGTGGATAATACAATGTCACTGCAGTTAAAACTCATCGTAAGAATATTCTATTTGATAGAATAACACTCATAAATGCTAAACTATATAGTAGTAAAGCTAAGTAACTTATAGATATATTTATACACACAATAATTACAATATTACAATAGTAACAAGACCAGTCTCAGTCAGATTGTGAAATTGACAACATCCCAATTATAACAGTGATAAATGACGTCATTTCTCAGTAGACTTAATTCCTACAAGGCCAACAGTCACAAACTCTAAGAAAATTGACAAAGTACATCTGAAATGATACACATAGACCGTCAAATTCATCTGACTTGGTGAGATAGGTGCCGTTAACGCCGCTATTTCTGTCAGAAAGTGACCAACTTAGTCATAGAATGACGCAAAACAAGACGGTTCAAAACAAGGACCTTGTGACAATTTGCACAAAGACAGAACGTAGGTGTAATATAATTTAGTGACGCTTATAATCACCGGGTCAGATAAATCGGACTAAACACGAAGCAATATCAAAACGCTTCGTAAAATTGATAAAAGAATTGACATAAATTCACAAGAGCCGTTAAAGCAAATTAAAAAGAAATAAGACTCACAGATTAATAACACACAAAATAAAACAAAAGCACATCGACATTAGTATTAGAAAATGTAAAAATATTTTAAAAATTGAAGTCCTATAGAACACGTATTTTACACTAAACATAACCACTCTATAACTATAATAGTTTTTAGTTACACGTGTGTAGCCAAAGGTTGTTGATGGCCATTTCCTGAAACAAAATAAATCCATTGTAGAAATATCAAGAATTTAAACAAAGACATTCAAAAAATATAGAGTAGGCATAGTTGAGAATACACTTGGACATTTTTCTAATCTCACTAACGCTATTTATAACCTCAACACCACATGTGAATATAATTAACTAGCTTCCGCCCGCCCGTCTGCGTGGTCCGTATTAATAAAAAAAAAGAAAGTAGCCTATGTGCTTTTCCAGAATATCCTCTACATCTAAGCCAAGTTTCATCAGTCAGAATTTCAGTTTGTCGACTAAACGGTTGAACAGATGACGATAAAATTTGGCATACACGTATAGGATAATCCGGAAGCACACCGGCTACCCACTTTTTTAATTCCACGCGGACGGAGTTGCGGACGAAAGCTAGTAACGCATAAAATATCTTACCTTTCTTCGTAACAGTAGTATTACTTAAAGCCCTAGTTGTTGCTGCCAGTATGTAATGCGCGCTCGGAGACTGCGGCGTCGTCGTCGCGCCAACCTGAGAACATTCGGAGATTAGTTCCACCATACTGGATACGAAGTAATCAGTCAATGAGGACAGTCTCAGAGATTGTGTAATCAAGGTTACATTGCAGTGATTTGTTCTGCGAATTCCAATTGTATTTGCTTCTATATAATTAGTGTGATTATTAATGAATTTGTCAATGGATTGCAAAGAGGTTCAAGAAATATAGAGTAGACATAGTTGACTCTTCACTTGAGAAATTTATCACAAAATCTCACTAACGCTAATATTTTGATAGATTTGTATTACATTTTGTAACACTGTCAACTTTATTTTATAACAACGATGGAGCTTATTACAATTTAGTATTTTTATTATTACTTGGTAGCACTAAACTCGACCACTGATATAGTACCTCTCGGTGAAAGTACCGGTGAAAACATGTTCTTCACCTCGTCTATATATTACTAGCCGTTCCCGTGCGACTTTATCCGCATGAGATTATGAAAATTTTATTTTATTGTTCACATTTGTCAAGTTATCAATTACATGACATGACATGATGACAACCTTGCTTCCTTGATGTTGGCAGCAACTTATGGTCTCTTTCCCACATTAGGGTTTTTATCCAAAATATTTACCCCGTAAGTTTAATGAACTGAAAATATATAGCCTAAAGTGTGACGTAAGTGTAGGGCTTTTTATAAAAGAAATAATTATTTAAAAATATGCTGTAATTGCTGACATCTTAGGCAACAAAGAAGTGTGTGTTTACGCTTTATTATAATAGTATAGATAGGTCTTTGGTATGGGTATAAAAATAGAAAGCCTAAGAATGTAAAGATTTTTGTGAAGTATTCGTATGAAGGGCATTAATTCAGATTTGACGGCTGATAGAGATGTATGGAAGAGTACATACTGTGTAATTTTCCTAATCAAATGCTGATGACGATTTATTTTTCTTATTATTCTGTTGATGTTCTTATAATGTTTTTAATTATGTTTCGTTATTCAGTTTCAATGTGATGTATATTTTAAAAACATTCCGTGATTCACCCTTTTAAATCCGATGTTGTTTACACCTTTAACAACCCTTTTAGAATGTTTATCGATTTCACATTAAAAGCTTTTCACCGTACTTAACGCGTTGTGAATCGCTATTGAAACATTCCTACCTTTATAGGTGTTATAAAATTAGAAATTCATTTAGGTCGAGATATTGATGACTTACAATGAAACTTTTCTTTGTTTCATCACAATACTTAGTTTTTTTTTTTAAAAACAGTACATTTTTGGTAATCTATCATCATATCATATCATCACCAGCTCACTATATGTCCCCACCGAGGAGCACGGAGCCTACCCTAAAGTTAGGGTGACTAGGCCATAGTCAACCAGGCTGGCTTAGTGCGGGTTGGTCGACTTCACACATATCTTTGTATTTCTTCGCCGATATGTGCAAGTTCCATCACGATGTTTTCCTTCACCGTAAGAACGTCGGGTAAATTATGTACATATGAAAATTTGAAAAATCGAAAATCACATTGGTTCGGCGGGATTCGAACCCAAGACCTGTAGATTACTACTCAAGTGCTTAAACCACTGAGCCACCGACGCTCGTACATCTAATACTCGTAATCTATACTAATATGATAAAGCGTAAACACTACTTCGTGGTGTAAGATGTTAGCAATCACAGCATATTGATTAATTCTTTTTTTAACAAAAAGCCTTTCACTTACGAAATGCTTTAGGCTATACATTCACGCAATTAAACTTAGGGGCTAAATAAATTGGTACACCCTTATGTGCAAAACGGATCATAACCTACAATCTGCAAACTTACTAAACTAACGCGTACCATCCTTCGACCACATCTTCACCTTGAGTGGGATAGTGGTCAAGCGCTGGTTTTGCAATTTAAAAAAAAAATATGCAAGCTAGGTTATTATGTTAACGGTAATAATGATATTTGCAATTGAGAATATGACAAATATAAACAATAAAATGAAGTTTTTATAATTTCACGCGAATGAAGCCGCATTGGAACAGCTAGTTTACTAATATTTCCTTTAACCATTCCAACTAAACTGTAGGCTTGTGCTAGGATATGATTCACGATAATAGTCGAATGGTGGATTTATAAGTAAGAAAAAAATTTAAATTAGAATTTAAGACATCAAGTCTAATCTTAGTTTTATTTGTGTATTTAAAGAATTACTATCCCTAATAATTTCAAAGGTCGAAGTAGCATAAAATAGTTTGAAAAAATATTTCTATTTTCTAAATTAAATTGTAGTTCAATTTGTGAGTGTGTCGCAGATACTCTGTGAATACGTGCGGGACGGACATATTGTTTAAAACTGACCACTGGCTGTGCGCTCTCCGTTGACATCGTTGAATTTGTTATAGGACTTGTTGCACATTGCGGCGACGTGAGGCTCGTCGGCGACGTTATTGAATGCGATGAGTTACCTAAAGGAAAATATACTTCTGTGAATGATTTGCATTGAATCCATTCTTCTATAACGAACAGTAAAAACGACTATGGACAGCAACATTAGAAAAATTGCAACTAAATCTTAATCCTTGTCCAAGTATTCCTATTATATCTTATTAATATTATAAATGCGAAAGTTTAGATGGATGTTTGTTAGAGTTTGTAGCCTAAACAGCTGTTTAGCCGTTCAGCTGAACGGATTTCTATGAAATTTGGTATTGATGTAAAGAATAGTCTGGAAGAACACATAGGTTACACTATTTTTTTTTATTATTTACGCGAACGGAGTCGTGGGCGAAAACTACTTTATAAATAATTCTTATCGTTGTTAATCTTTGAGAATTATATAAACTCGTTTCTTGAAGAACTCATATTCCATTGCAGATTGTCAGATCATTTTGTGGTAATTAATATCAAACCCTCCTTTATAAACAATTCGTTCAACAATTTTTTCCTGTCACAATACGTCTCCATTTAGGGGATCAGAGCCTTGTAAGTTAAGTTGACTAAGTCATAGTCATCCATGCTACTAGCCCAATTTTGGTTGGTTGACTTCACTCATAGAATTTTATGATATGTGGAAACAATCCTTACCTGAAGGTAATATAACAGAATTCCTGACAGAGGAATACGGTGGAGGCGCAGGAGTTGAAGCAGGTTTAGCAGTGTTGACAGTGGGGAAGCCGAGACTGGTAGTCGTCCGTAAGTGAGGGTTGCCGTAAGTTGCAGCGTATCTTACGTCCACGCCGTGTATGATGCCACCATTTGGTACTCTACTTCCTGTGAGGAAAACAAACGTATGAAAGAAAAAGATAAAGATCAGATAAATTGCAGCTTATTATAATATCTGATACAAATAATAGAATTAAGGTATTCGTCAAGATTTCTTATTGTAAAGTAGGCAAATTATGATAGATTTTTGTAGGCATAACTCAAAAATATGTCACCAGTAAACGTGTGGTTAACAAACTAACATGTCTTTTATTTTCAATTATTTCAAACTACACAGTTACCCCGTAAATTTGCACAATTTTTAACAATAGATAACATTTTCGACCTTCAACCATAAGTTTTCCCAAACAATTGAAAAAACTACGCCATTTTCACTGTCCTTTCCATTGGTCATAAATTTATTCGGCGCCGACATCTCTAAACCTAGTTCCCCTATTTTATGCGCCTTGGAATATTTATAATCTGTAAGATCCTTTGACTATAGAGGAATGGACTAGGCAATGTTCTGAATTGTAGCAAATAATTTCTGTCAGTTTTTACGAGATAAACGCTGACATTTTTGTAAAATTTAAACTTCTCTATTAACAGATTTAAAAACACACTTGCACACACGTTCATTTTTATTTAATAGAAAGGAATGCGTTACTTAACTGGTCCTGTTATTAAAAGTCAAAGGTGAGATCTATAACTTACCTTCGCCCGTCGGCACTCCTAAATTATTTAATGCATTACTACTGTCCTGTCGCTTGGTGGAGCGTTGCAATGAATTATTCTGGGAGCCATTGGTCGCATTGAATTGTATAGTTGATGATGTTTCAATGCTTCTCGGTAGGCTGCCGTTTATAGACCTAAGTATAAATAGAATAGGACATTTAAAAATCTTTATAGGACTTAAAGTAATTTACATAATGTGTGTACATTTGGTAAGCTGTTACTAAATTTACTAAATGTATGGAAATATAGTTTTGTATTAACTATTTGTTTTATTTTATGGAATATTTTTAAAAGAATTACTGAAATTGTAGTCAAATAGATAAAATTAATTAAAAAATGTTGTAACTGAGAAATTAGATATTTTTAAACAACAAACATCTCTATCTATACTATTATAATAAAGCGTAAACACACACTTCTTTGTTGTTTAAGATGTCAGCAATTACAGCATATTTTTGAATAATTCATTTTTTATTAAAAAGCCCTTATGTCACGCTATAGGCTATATTTTTCAACGCCATTAAACTTAGGGGGTAAATATTTTGGCTAAAAACCCTAATCTGGGAAACAGACCATAAGTTGCTGCCAACATCAAGGAAGCAAGATTGCCATGGTTGGTCATCATGTGTAAATAATAAAATTAGATTTTCATAATTTTATGCGGATGAAGTCGCACGGGAACAGCTAGTTTTTTTATAAAATTGTAATATCATCCAAACTGTAGTAACATTTCAAATAGATCAATATATAAAAAAAAATGGATCTAGTCTTAATTCCTAGATTTCCAAATAAACTATAAGTTAACTATTAAATATAGTTGTCTAGAGTATTCAAAAACCACCTTTTTTACTTTGCTTTGTAAATTTTCACCTATTTTACAAACTTCATATTAAATTGTCCAACCATGGAGTGCTATTCATTACCGCTTTAACCTGAATTCGCGTTGAATTCAGGTTAAAACGTATTACGTCATCGTCGTGTAGGATACAAAATAATCTAATAATTATTTATAAAGAATACCTATCGACTCTTATAAAACCGTTTCAATTTGATTTATATACTAGCTGTTCCCATGCGACTTCATCCGCATAAAATTATAAAAAGAAATATTTCATTGTTTCATCATCACATCATCACCAGCTCACTATACGTCCCCACCGAGGGGCTCGGAGCCTACCCTAATATGGGGTGACTAGGCCATAGTCAATTACGCTGGCCAAGTGCGGGTTGGTTGACTTCACACATATCTTTGAATTTCTTCGTCGATATGTGCAGGTTGCATCACGATGTTTTCCTTCACCGTAAGAACGTCGGGTAAATTATGTACATATAAAAATTCGAAAAATCGAAAATCACATTGGTACATGGCGGGATTTGAACCCAAGACCTGTAGATTACAAGTCAAGTGATCAAACCACTGAGCCACCGACGCTCCTTCATTGTTTACATGCGTTAAATTATCAATTGCAAATGTCAAAATGACATGACGATGACAAAGCATGACAACCTTGCTTTCTTGATGTTGGCAGCAACTTATGGTCTCTTTCCCACATTAGGGTTTTTATCCAAAAATTTTACCCCCTAAGTTTAATGGCGTGAAAATATATGGCCTAAAGCGTGACATAAGTGTAAGGCTTTTTATTAAAAAAATAATTATTAAGAAAAATGCTGTAATTGCTGACATCTTAGGCAACAAAGAAGTGTGTGTTTGCGCTTTATTATAATAGTATAGATCAATAACATTGGTAAAGTAAGTATTAAATTTTTCTAACATAATATGTTACTAATATTATAACTGCGAAAGTTGGGATGTTTGTTAGACTTCATAGCCTAAACTGCTGAACGGATCTCGATGAAATTTAGCACAGATGTAGAGGATAGTCTGGAAGCAGATATAGGCTACTTTTTTTTATTCAATGCGGTTAGATTCGCGGGACAAAGCTATTGAATATAAAACATGAATTACATTTTCGTAATATTACCTGTTAGGTGTCAATTTTTCACCGCTGAGTGTCGGCGACTGTACACGCAACGATCCCGGGGTATAGTCGTGTCCATAATGCACATACGTTTGATAGCCATTGTTGAATCCATTGCCCTACGATAGTAAAAAGCGGTTTAATAGGATTATTCGAACAAGTGGGCGCAGACCTTTGAAACTATCGCACAACTGCTTTGTGATTCTCGATTGTTTCGCAGCCAATTCAATTGTTTCGTTGCACAATTAAAAATCGGGCAGTGGACGCAGAATCAAAGCGGGACTAAACAGTTGTTAGATAGTTTAGTCAAATGTTTGCACGCTCTAAAGATTTATTGTACAAAATCGATTCCCGCTGTCTCTATATTTGCTTAAGGGTCTGTCCCACTGGCTGGTAGAGGCTCAGATAGCTTTAAAATGACGTCACTGTTAGATAAAATAACAAAAACCGATATTTCCATCATATACTTCACACGTTGAATGTTCATCGTCATCTTTCTCCCTATCCTACTCCCGTAAGGTCGGCGCAACAGGTTTTTGTCCTCCACATAACTCTATCATCTCAGTCATCACTCCCTTCTTGATCATGTCATCTTTTACGCAATCCATCCATCTCTTTCTAGGTCAACCTCTACCGATGTACCCTTCCACACTCATAACTAAATCTAGTATATATCACAGTAGATAAATATTAATAATTTAAATTAAAATATTTGGATTTGGCTCACGAGATTACCGCCATGTGGCGTATGAAATCGACTACCATTATTCCGATAGTCGTTTCGGTACACGGGCTGATAGCGAAGAACTTCGACCAATACCTCAAGAAGCTCTCGCTAGACAGTTGGATTAAGGGCCCGATATAAAAGGCGGTTATTTTAGAAACCGCACGAATAGTGAGGATGTTCCTGTCTCTGCAGCCCTGACCACTGGTTGCTTGAGTCATCGGATTCCGCAGCCAGTGGACTTCTATTTTTTTATATATGTTTTATTTTGTTATTTTTTTAAATAAAAAATCATGTAAAATACATTATATATAAAAATAAGAAAATAAAGATATGAGACTTAATAATTATTAATGTGAATAAACATTTCACATCAGCATTACCATGGCAGGGCTATAATAATCAAAGCTAAAACATAACTTATATCAAAAGCTCGCGTGCTATGAGATAATACACACCTTGTAGCAGTCAGAATAGGCGGGATCTGTGTAGTCGTTACTATATCTGTATCCTTGGTATGTGTTGGTCTGATTCACCGCTGACAACGCGACTGTACCGGCTAATGGAATACCGCTCCCTAATTTCGCATTGGAGCACAAGGTACTGTCCGAACCGGTGTTGGAATAATCCTGCGTAATGGATGAAGGTTTTAGTAACCATTTGGTAAATTAATATCCTATGATTTGGTACAGTATTGTCTTGTAATGATTCGTCAAAGAATATCTTACTAATATTATAAATGCGAAAGTTTAGATGGATGGACGTTTGTTTGAGTTTGTAGCCTAGACGGCTGAACGGATTTCGATAAAATTTGGCATAGATATAGAGGATAGTCTGGAAGATCACACAAGTTACTCAGTTTTTTTTTAATGACACGCGGACGGAGTCGCTGGCAAAAGCTAGTTAATAATACATTTCATTGTGAAACGTTTTTGGTATATCTGAGATTTAAAATTGTAATTAAAAGTAACAAAGAAGTAAAACAATTGGAAATCAGTACAGATATTAATTCAAAATATCTTCTAAAGAATGATATTATTCATAAAGAAGCGTTACTTTTGTAATGCGTTTCTTTTGCGTACATCGTGAAGAATAGTAAATATACCAATTGGTACATCTTGTATTTTGTTGTGTAGATTCAGTGACGATTATTTTTCGCCGAACTGATAAAATTTGTGTATTCCATACTATCTGTCTCCTTTTAATGTTTTAATTTTAATTAAGCTATCTTTTTCGCACCGCTTGAATATGTTTTAAAATGTAAGATAAAAATGCGCGTGTGTTTTGTTTTGTGAGGAGGTTTACATATGTATTGTTTAAAATCATTCTTCTGATATCCGAACATTAATTGATTATTAAATAAAAGAAACTTACAACTTCACAACTACCATTAGCTTGTCGTAATTCAAGTTTCAAATCGCTTATATTTGAATTCCGATCGTTTTCCTTAAACAATTCCTCAGCTGTTACTGTAACATCAGGTTTCTCCGTCATTTGAACCTGTTTGTTCTTCCTTTGCTTTCTTTGACACAATATCACTAACATTATTAGAACAGCCACCATTATTGTCCCAGATGTGGCTCCGAATAAAATCAATAGCAGGGGAAAGGATTCTGCGAACAATGGAAAAAATGTCGGCGTTAGAAATATTTGTTTATCGGATATCGTAAAAGAAAATAACATTACATTAATAGGAGTTGGCAAAGGTTATCTAGGGAATATCAATAGTCAAGGGGATAATAGTTTTTTTTAATTCTTTAAAAGAATATTTCAATGAAAAACTAATAGGTTATTTTCCTGTTATACAGTTAGCACTGGAATGCTTGTATAAAATCATTTTGTCGCTTTAAAACTTATTGAAAAGACAAAGTAATAATAGAAGTCATCATCATCAGCTTACTATAGGTCCCTAATGAGGGAGGAAGTCTTCCCTAAGTTAAGTGACTAGGCCTTATTCAACTGGGCTAGTGCGGGTTAGTTAGCTTCACACATATCTTTGAATTTCTTCCCCGATATGACAGAGGAATTTTGTAGCAATAGAGCACATTAGTTCCACTTCTTAAATAGAAGCAGGAAGTGACTCGGTCACAAGGAACTATTAAGGAACAACTGGGATATTTTTACGACGATGTGTGTGGTCGTTATGGTCATTATGGTTTTCGTCAAAGACTTTCGGATAATGCTCGTATCCGTTGATATTTTTTATAAAAACTCTTGAGACATATTTATTCTTTATCGAGGATGTTTTACGTCTCGGATAGTCGTTTATTTATTTATAAAAGATCCTTCTAGATTTCTTTGGAAATATTTTAAGACTTTTATTAAAAGACTATAATAAAAAATACTCTTTACTTTTAATTCAGGATAAGGCAGTCGAACCGTTCACTTCAAACCATTTTGCTAAAAGTTGTGTTACAATAAGGAAGCCAAGCTAGAAGGAGATAGAACTAAAAATGGAGAGAGAAAGTAAATACTTACTGTTTGGTTTGAGGGTAATCACCATAACGTCGCTTCCGAATTCATTGGAGACATTACATTTATAAGTTCCGAAGTGCCTTGATTGACTTTCTCTGATGATCAACGTTGAATTAACAACGCCTCCTGGTTGCAAATCTTCCAAAAATGCGTAATCCTGAATTCAGAATTAATACGATTAAAACGATATCGTACCCCTCAGGCAGGACATGAGTTGAATTCGTAATAACTACCGCAAACTGGATATCGACTTGTAAGGAAATTTTAAATTATTATAATTGGCATATCTTTCTTAAATTCTAATTAATATTTATAATAAAGAAATACAAATCTTTTCTCTTTATAATGTTAGTATGGATAATTTTAATAAAAAAAAAACTTATTTCCACTAAACATTACACATTACACACCAAGACCTAACACATAGCTCTAATTTCTTCTTCATTTTTACTAAGTACTACATATCTGTTTATTTTTAAGTTTGTTATTGTAAGATTCATTGTGTTCTGTGGGGCTGGGGCCTGGTGATCTATTACACAGGACACCACTCTAGTTTGGACACCAGTTCCCTGCGCAAGGGGAAAATGGTATTACTGGGGGCGTGCCGGCCCTGCAGTGCTAAGATGTTAAAGCAGGCACTAACACTGTTAAAACTACACTGACAATCGCTGTAACAGCTGTTATATTGAATTTCTTATTCATACCTGATCATGAACAGAGTCAATATCTTTATCTTCAAAGCTCCAGTAAATGTTATCGATTCTTGGTATTGAGAACGCCGCGCACTCTATATTCACGCTGTCACCTTGTGAACCGAATTGTGTCTGGTTTGATATTATCTTTGGCGGTCCTAAAACAAATTACATCTTATTAGTATCATAACTAGGGAAATATAGTCAAATATTGATAACCAAAATCAATATTCTATCATTGAGATCGATACGAAAATATATTAAAGTAAAGAATTTAATTAATCTCCTTCTGAATAGTGTATGTTGTTATTAATTTTAAAATGTTCATTAAAAATACCGCGAATATTGACAGACGTAGATTAGTTGTTAATTAGATTTCCGAGCAACATTTTCTCTGTTCTATCAGATAGATGAGGTATTGTGTTTTCTGTATGTGTTTGTGTTTTTTTTATAGAGGGAAAAATGTGTTTGTGGTGTGGTCTCATATCCATTATCAACCTGCTCTTGTCTCTAACTCTATTTATCATATTTGAGTTCACTCCCTTCTTATGCATATCCTCTTTCATACAATCCATCTTTACTTCATATCTATCTTCTAACTATCATACTTTCTTGGGTCTTCCTCTATATTTGTAGCCTACATTCAAAATTAATGCTTTCTTGTTTAAGTGACAATCTTCGCATCTTACCACGCTAACCGTCAAGTCATGTAAAAAGAGAATTTTCTAGCGTAAATTCAAGAAAACCTTTCTATGTGTAGAAGACGAGCTGTTGCCCCCGACTTCGTCCGCGTGGTATTAGAAAACATACAAACCATATAAATTACAAAAAGTTACGTATCCCTCGGGAACCGGACATTTCTCGGGGATGAAGCTTATCCCATGTGTACTCCAGACTTTGTTTTATATCTGTGCCAAATTTCAATAAGATATGTTGAACCGTTGCAGAATAATCGAGTAAACATTAAAAAACTAAATTAATGAATCCCACGGGAACCACAACTATTCCCGGGATAAAAAGTAGCCTATGTGTACTTCCAGACTATGCTCTAAACCTGTGCCAAATTTCATAGAGATCCGTTCAGCCGTTTAGGCTACAAACGCTAACAAACATCCATCCATCTAAACTTTCTCATTTATAATATTAGTAAGATTAAAATTATAATCTTGTTTTCGTTTAAACTATTAATAAGTTAACAGGAAATTAAAATATGATGATTTATTAACAAGCAAATTTCAAAACGGGTATAGAATATTAATTTCAATCAAGTATTCTATTACAGTTCGGATTACGTACTTTAATGAAGGTTTAATAAGTTTCAGATATTCAATTTATATACAAAAAAGTTTAAATTTTATCTAGTATAATTCCCTTGATTAGTTTTCATTGAATTTCGACACTTATTGATAACAATGTTTTAAACGGTTTCACTTTAATGATTAACATAATTGTTATTGCTGTAATCCGAATTTTATTACAAACTTGGTTTCGTTTCCGGAATCTTTTGTTGTAAAATGATTCCAATTTTCAAACAACAACATGAACTTCATCGTCTTATAATCTAGGAAGGATCAAAGAGGTCTAGTAGTCAAAATCCTTTTTTTATTACTGAAATAATCATTATATAAGCATTGATGAGAGGGTAGGAGGATAGAATGATGATTGATTTTGAATTTACAATTTTCACATCTCAGGTGGTGGTTTAACAGCCGACAGCCGACATAACTGCTTTGATGTATATTTCTAGTTCAAAACAGACTTAAACTGTTTAAATTTAAGCTGTCTATCCTGTGTCTAGTTGTATTTTGTACGATTGTTTTGAAAACTTGGCCTGTCCCACAATTCTTGTAAATCGTCAGATAACAATCCAACGTATAAAATATAATAGTATCGGATTTTGGTACTCTAACACTGACGTCATTTTTAAGCTATCTGAGCCTCTATCAGCGAGTGGCGGGACATGCCCTTAGTAAAACAATTATTGTTAAATAATCTTTTACTTAATAAGGAAATATAAGCCACGTTTTTCAGAAATATATCACTGCCATTTACCTCGACCTTGTGTGGGATTATCATAAGAATTAATATTTTACCTTGCGTTTGACACGGTAGCTTTTAAACTAATGAAATATAGTACGCAGCATTTGAATTGGCACGATGGAGAAGTAGCAAATATTAGATTGGTTCAATATTATAAAGCGTTCTCTTTTGTACATTAAAACAGATCCACTTTGTTTAATACTAGCTGTTGCTCGCGACTTCGCCTGCGTGAAATAACAAATATAACCTATTACGTTTGCCCTTTTTTTCAACCTATTACCAAAGGTATCATCATTTTTGTATACCTCTAACGGTTTAGGCAGCGTAAGCCGAGAAAAGTTAAAAGTTTAATCATTTTATGACGCCGGCGTCCAGAAACACGCTGTTTATTAATAGTTCTTTAACATTAGTAATAATAAAATATAGCCTATGTTACTCACTGATAAATTACCTTTCTGATGGTGAAAGAATTTTTAAAATCTGTCCAGTGGTTTTTGAGGTTTTTCAATACATACAAAAATACAAAGTTTTCCTCTTTATAATATTATTATACATGTCGCAGGAAGCTATAAATTGACTGTTGCTTTATGTGTAACAAACGTTATTGTCTTGCGTTTTAATATTGTTTAAGATAAAATTATTAATTTAATTCCTTTTTCTCGAAAGTAGAAACTCGATGTCATTTGTATTTAGTTCTTTTTAAAATTAAAAGTACGTCAACTTGCATACGACCAATAAGAGCAGAGCAAGCGGCTCGAGTGGCCTTTATTAGCTCGAGCGGGGTCGAGGCGCACTTCAGTGCTTAGAGGGCGACATTTGTAGTGACATGTTGTGGTGCGTGTTGGCAGAGTGGCGAGTCGATTGAGGAGAGTAGTGTAGTAGAGGTACGAGCGGGTGCCACGAACCCGCTGCTCGGTCTTGCTTGTTGATTTGCTATGTGATAAGTGTAGATTCCGAATTATATTGTGTTAATCCGTGTCTCTAGTGTTTTAATGCTCGCACTTCACCCAAATAACGCCCACGAAACCAAGACTCGGTAGCAATGATGTCGGGAGAAAGACCCAACTCCGACATACATATAGATTAGATGCATATACCATGGCCCAATAACACTATTAAATAATCTAAATAATTAAAAAGATACGACTAAGTGGCTCTTTGACAGGAGGAGAATAATCAATTAACATACCTCGTTAAAATCGGTTAAGTTTTTGGCTACAGAGGGATTACATTTATATATCTTACATAAAAACATACTGAGAGTAGCCCCCATAGTAGAGAAGGTTAGGAGTAAAAGGTTAGCATGGTATGGGCATGTTATGAGGAGGGATGAATCGCATGTTACAAAGAGAACGTTAGTTATGAGTGTGGAAGGGTACATCGGTAGAGGTAGACCTAGAAAGAGATGGATGGATTGTGTAAAAGATGACATGATCAAAAAGGGAGTGATGACTGAGATGACGTAAGATAGAGTTATGTGGAGGACAAAAACCTGTTGCGCCGACTCTACGGGAGTAGGATAAGGAGATGATGATGATGATACTAATTCCTGAGTTAGTTGAATAATATTGGTTCTAACAGCTCTTTATTTTTAATAGTGAATTGACAAAAAAATCCATTTTTTTTTATCTATACATTAGTGTTATGTTGAACGTAGTTTCAACGGAGTAAAATTCAAGTAACGTAGATCGAATTCGAGGTTTAGACTAAGCGCCATCTGCGCGGCCACCTCAAGCCCGGTGAATCTGTAAATTCCTCTTCAAGGCAAGTGGCCACTCAGTCACAAAAAAAGTAGATCGGAAACCGTAAGTGTGCTTTGTATTAGGTAATCTGTGACGTCATTTTCCGCTTAACAAAACTCCAGATTATTTCCGTTGTGCCAATTCAAATGCCGCACTATACTGCGGGCGTGTATGAGATATATTGTTGATAGTTTGGAGTGGAGCTAGTGTGCGTTTCCATTGTGTCTTTGACAACGTGTCCGAAACATTGCCCCGATATTGATTATTGACTCCAGTAATTAAGGAAGCGTCTATCAACGTTATAAGGTTCATTTGATTTTGACACTGTATTCTCGACGTCTCAATAATTACTTAAAAGCGGGCGCACACAATTGACTATAGTGTGTCTAAATAAGATAGATTAGTTTGACAAATGACGCATATGAAGTATCGAATTCAATTTGTATGAAGACAAATGCCATACTTAATAGACAGGTATTGTTGTGACGAAACAAACACGCAGTGAACAATAATGAACTATCGATATTCGGTTTAAATAATTATCGAACTCAACTAAAATTATTATTTTCTTATTAACTAATTTATAGGCCAATTCTAGTATAGATTATAGTGTAGAGAATTTAGCGATGACAAAAAAAAATAGCGAAATCCAATTCGATTACGTACGGCTGTAGTAGTAAACATTTATTTACTCTCATTATTTGTTATGGTCATTATTAATTTGAGAAAACGGTGTTTTTTTTAATTCATAATTGTATAACTATAAATCTATCGATTCAAACTACTATAAGAATAAAAATCGATAAGATTCACGACTGATTTTACACAAACATCCCTACTAAATCTAACTATCACAGAAGTGTGTGATTGTCGATTGTTTCGCAGTCAATTCAACTGTTTAGTTGCACGACTAAAAATCGAGTAGTGTACACACCTCAATATAAGTTCATAGGAATCAAAGCGAGACTGAACAGTTGTGCGATAGTTTAGTCAAAGGTCTACAGGATACTTTAGGACCTAATGAATCCAATCTTTTACGCGGTATTCAAGGATTTTCAATTGTTATAACGATGTATGTTAAAATTAATACAAACGGTAAACAAATAATTAAATACATTACATAAAAAAAGGTTTGCCATTGGTATACCTATTGCTTTAAAATAAACTAGACAAGTTCACTAAATAAATTGATGGCTTGTAGTTTATTTTAATTTTAATATATAAATAAATTGACATAAATTCACACTAACAAATTTAGTGTTAGTACAGTTAATGTTACAGAAAAAAAGATACAGAATTACCATTTCATTAAAAATAAACAAATCTATCTGTACATCTATACTGATATTATAAAGAGGAAAGATTTATATTTTTGTATGTATTGAAATAACTCTAATATATAAATAAATAACTGGTTCTCTAGTCCAGTCCGACGGTGGCGTTGACCGAGACGTAAAAAGCCGAATAAATGCAGGTTGGATGAAATGGCGACAGGTTACTGGTGTGACTTGTGATCCAAGAATGCCTCTTAGGCTTAAGGGACAGATCTACAAGTCCATCATAAGACCTGTCGTATTGTATGGATCTGAATGCTGGGCCACCAAAGTTGCGGATGAAAGGAGATTGCATGTGGCTGAGATGCGTATATTAAGATGGATGTGTGGTGTGACAAGATTGGATAAAGTTAAGAATGTGTACATTAGAGGAAGTTTGAAAGTAGCGCCAGTGGTGGAGAAATTGAGAAGCAAAAGGTTAGCGTGGTATGGACATATTATGCGACGAAATGATGGGGACATAAACCAGAAAGTGTTGAGATTGAATGTGGATGGCTACAAAGGAAGAGGAAGACCGAAGAAAGTATGGATGGATTGTGTGAAGGAAGATATGCTTAAGAAAGGAGTGGATTCAGATATGACGGCTGATAGAGATGTATGGAAGAGCAGCACATACTGTGCCGACCCTCCATAAGGGATAAGGGCAAGTGGATGATGATGAAATAACTCAAAAACTACTAGACCAATTTTAAAAATTCTTTCACCGTTAGAAAGGTAATTTATTTGTGAGTAACAAAGGCTACATTTTTTATTATCTTATAATTTCACGCGGGCGAAGTCGCGAACAACAGCTAGTATATAAACAGAAAAGATTTGTACTTTTGGATTTTTGTATATATTGAAATAACTCAAAAACCACTTGGCCGATCAAAAAAATTCGTTCACCATTAAAAAGCTACGTTATCACTGAGTAACAAAAGCTATAATTTTTTATTCTAAATGGACAAAGTCGCGAGCAACAGTTAGTTAATAAAGGTCATCATTATGCTTTCAAGAAATACACATAATGCCAATTAATATCGTTTGTTCAAGGAAAATGAGTCAAGGGCATTTTTACTTAACGAAGGAAAATGTACTACATTAACCACGCAATACGTTCTAGGAAATTACCCGCACATTGCCACTTAGAAATTAATTAATGAATATAATCTATGCTGATTAGTTAGAGTAAATTTTATTTTCCTAGTAACAAGGAATTTATTTACATACTAGCTGTTGCCCGCGACTTCGTCCGCGTGGTATTAGAAAACATACCAACTATATAAATAACAAAAAGCCACGTATCCCTACGGAACCGGAAATTTTACGGGGATGAACCTTATCCCATGTGTACTCCTGACTGTGTTTTATATCTGTGCCAAATTTCAATAAGATATGTTGCAAAATAATCGAGCAAACATTAAAAAAAAAACAAAATTATTGAATCCCACGGGATCCGTTCAACCGTTTAGGCTACAAACTCTAACAAACATCCATCCATCCATCCATCCATCTAAACTTTCGCTTTTATAATATTAGTAAGATAAGTAAATGATTGGTTTTATTCCACTAATAGCTTACGCCCGCGACTCTCTCCGTGTAAAAATAAAAAAGGCAAGTAGCCATATAGGCTACTTCTTCCAGACTATCCTCTACATCTTTACCAAATTTCTTTAAAATTCGTTCAGCCCTTTAGACTACAAACGCTAGCAAAGATCCATCCATCCATCCATCTAAACCTTTGCATTTATAATATTACTATGACTATGATTGTGGTTACAATTTTCACATATAAGATCTGAAGCACAGAACATCGAAGTCTATACTTGTCGCTTTAAAAGTAGTGTCATGGTCATTGTTCTGTAGATGAAATTAATTCTAGATATTCTATGTATATTCTTTGTGTTTTTTATGTATTTATATTTGTACCTTTTATGTAGATGGCTGCTTCAGCCTCTATTTCCGGGTACCCTTCAACGTTTGCTTTACAGATGTATCTTCCAGAGGTATGCGTGTCCACGGTAAGTGTCAAATTCGCAGTTCTGCCCACACGCTAAAAAAAATATACTATTAAGTAAATCTATACTAATATAATAAAGCGTAAACACACACTTCTTTCTTGCCTAAGAGGTCAGCAATCATAGCATATTTTTGGATAATTCTTTTTGTAATAAAAAGCCCTACACTTACGTCTCGCTTTAGGCTACATATTTTCACGCCAATAATAGGAAGTAAATGTTTTGGATAAAATCCCTAATGTGGGAAAGAGACTATAAGATGCTGCCAACATTATGGAAACAAGATTACCAAGGTTTGTCATGGCATGTCAGTTTGACATTTTCTATTGATAATTTGACAAATGTAAACAATGAAATAACATTTTCGTAATTTCATGCGGATGAAACCGCACGGGGACAGCTAGTTGGTTCTAAAATTTAAATAAAAATCTTTAAAATAATGTTATAAAAATAGCTTTGAAATATGATAACATCAAATTATACATTGTAATTGGTTAATAAAATGAAATGGTGGGAAACCTTGAAAAATATCAACTTGCACGCCCACTCAATAGTAACAGAAACAAAAATATTCAAATCTTATGCGACGCTATAAGTGAGATACAAGTGGACTTTGACTATAGAAATTTTATTTCTCCAGTATTTATCGAACTACTGGTCATTTAAAATTAAGAGATTCAAATATAAATAGAGGAGGCATATTTGACACTTCTCTTGAAACATTTTTCATATAACACTAACGCTCTCTATTGATAACCTCAAAATCACTTGTAATTACAATTAATTGTATAATAAATTACCTATATATGTTATTTAAATAATATTTAAATGCTTATATTTTATTTTAACACACTGTTTAGTTTATTTTATAACAAAAGGTGGTGCTAATTATAATTTTGTTAAATGTTTAGTACAATAAAACTTGATAACTGGTATATTACCTATCAGAGAAAGTACCGGTACAAATTATTCACTGCCTCGTCTATATATTTTATAGGTTTGAAATATTTAAAATACTTACTATATTTTGATCTTCTTCTCTATGTAGCCATTCGATTTCCGGCACTGGGTGTCCGTCAACGTCACAGCTTAGGGTTGCCACTTTACCGATTTCCGCTTCCACGTCTTTAGGGAAGCTTCGAAACGATGGGGCGTCTACAAAAAAAAATCGAAATTTTTATTCCATAAACTGAAAAGACAACACAATTTTGTACAGGAAATTGGATTTATCGACAAATATAATAAGAGTTATTTTAGTGAAAGAGTTGCTATGGTAAAAATTATAACATTTTTTTGTACAAAAAGATAATTGTCAGGTTGATATTTACGTTTAACTTGTCACCGACAGCGCGTCAGCCAAAAATGCAAAACAAAAACCTTCTTCTAATTAAAACAAACTTAATTCAAATTTATTTAGTTATATATTTTACAAATAACAAATACTATGTCGCGACTACATCTTGTACGCGTCTCTTCTATCTATTGTTTTTCCACTACTTTTCTTTCATACTTAAACCATGCAATGTCTCGGTGGCCAGTATTCAACCTCTTTGGCTGTATTCACACTTGTTAGCCAAAGAGGTTGTATTTAGCATTGACCAATTTAAAAAGAAAAAGGATGTTGAAAGAATATTGAAATTTCCAAGAAACACAAGGCGAGATTTTAATAGAAGGGGAATTCCAAATTTGCTTAGTTAAACCCAAATTAAGGAGTAAAAGGTTAGCATGGTATGTTATGAGGGATGAACCGCATGTAACAAAGAGAACGTTAGTTATGAGTGTGGTACACCGGTTGAGGTAGACGTAAAAAGAGATGGATGCAGCGTGAAAGGTAACATGAAGAAGGGAGTGATGACTGAGATGACGGATGATAGAGTTATTTGGAGGACGAAAACCTGGTACGCATACTACAGGAGTAGGATAAGGCAGGGGATATGATGAACTCTACTCACATGTAACTTCCAATGTCTCAGACTCCTCACTTTTCCCAACTTCATTGTAAACTAAACACTTGAGCACCGCTCCATTGTGTTTCCTTGTTACGTTTGTTATAACCTAAAACAAAAGAAATAATTATATCTTATAAATATATTTAATATCAAGTTTTATGACGATCGTAAGCAAGGTTTAGTCCATCCCTGCTATATTTGAACTGGCTACATCTTGCTACATTTTCACTGTGATTGTGTAATAATGGTTTATAAAAATACTAACTTTTGCTAGCGACTTCTTCTAAGCGGAATAAAGAATTTAGCATAAAACATAGCCTAAGTGACTCAGTGTTAGAGTCGCTTTTCATTTGTACAATAATTTTTGAATTTGATCATTGTTCACTTAGTTATTTTAAAAGCCTTTTTTATTTAATTTACTACAGAAATTGAATTTTTAATGTTTGTGTTTATTTTCTTTAAATATGTCTCTTATGTTGCATTTTGTAATTGTCATTTATTATATAAAAACTACGAAGTTCTACCACGGTCGGTTTAAAATTCGTTACATAGAAATTTACAAATCTTTCTTCTCATTAGATTTCTTGAAATAATAAATGACTTTTCTTTGTTACACTACTATTTAAACAACAATCAGTAAATCATTTTACGTTACGTTAATAGGGTCCCATAGTTACCTTTAATCTATACTAAGATTTGTGTTTTTGTTTGTTTTAAAATAACTTAAAAACGATTGGTCTGATTTCAAAAAATCTTTCACCATTAAAAAGCTGAGTCATGAATAGCCAATAAGTATTAAAATTTAACTCAAACATAAACATGTATCCCAATTTCCTTTCCTTGCATACGACACGTGTCTACTTCAAGGAGTCAAACAGAGACAAGTTGACAGGAAATTCGAGTGCTTAGCTAGCAAGATAGGATTTACCCGCACACGGTAAAACCACTTAGATGGATAGGATTGGATATACCAAACATCCTACGAAACAATGGATATCCAATTCAGTTATCCGTTATTGCATTTGTAGCCAATAGACAGAAGGATTTTTTGAATAGAACTAAACATCAGTTAAGAGAGTAAAAGGTTACTATGGTATGGCCATGTTATGAGTGTCGAAGGTAGTAGAAAGAGATGGATGGATTGCGTGAAAGGTGACATGATCAAGAAAGGAGTGATGACTGGGCTGACAGATTATAGTTATCTGGAGGACCAAAACCTTTTGCGCCGACTTTATGAGATATGGGGGAAGATGATCAGTTTAAATTACTTCTCTTTTACGCCTTGACTTTAGCGTTAGTTAGAAGTAACCAGGACTTTGTCAACCATGCTGGTCCACTGATGGTTGACTTCATACATATGTATCATAATTTCTTTACAGATATGGGGAGTTTTCACCTTCAGAATTAAATATTTAACACAATAGTTTTGAAATTAACTGAATAACCATAACAAATTAACTCACCAATTCAGATTGGTTTCCAATAAGATCACCATCAAGGTACCATTTGTATGTTAAATTGTTTGGATTCGCATCAGCTTTGCAATCTGAAAAAAAAAAATCAATAAGTAAAAAAAAATAAAAAAGAAGTTTAACAACTCCACAGGTCATCGATAAAGCCAATTAGACTATAGACAGACAAGGATATCTGATGATGATGTTTTTGATAGCTCACTAGCGCCCTCCTTCAAAGTTGAAAATTGTCTTAAGATCTTTGTCGTGTTGTAGTTGTCATGGTCGTTACTTATGACATTTTTCAATGTCTATAGGTTATACATTTTTTTGAGCGAACTAACCACAATGTGTCTTTCTTACAAGGCCAGATATCTTTGTGGGAAAATAAAGTTTGCTATAAAACCAACTTACCAACAACAAGATCCTCCCCTTCAGGTATCTTCCCCTTGTTGCCAGATTTCTTTAACAACTTGATTTTAGGTCCATATTTAACCTGTTGACAAAAAGGATCAATTATCAATTATGTAAGCTTCCCAATTACATCATAATTTAAACAAAGAGTTATCTCAGAAATCAATGTTAAAACTCGATTAAGACGACATGTACTTTTAAATTTATTGTGTTTTTACTGAAAGGGAAAAATAGTAAAAAAAAATCAGAACGATATTTTTATATATTTTCGTGATATGCTTTTTTTTATTTTCTAACTTGAAGATTATCAGTCAAAGGTAACAGGGAAACAGCTTGATATTGAAATAAAATGATTGTAGGCGCTAATGCGAGGTATCAAATTTGAAACGTAAGCTATTTTAGAGTCAAGTAGTTCGTGGATATCAATATAAAAGCGACCACCCGTACACTACTACGCTACACTCTTAGTTTCTCAATTCATTACATTTTGTAATCTCCCATTTCTCCAACTGTCCAATGTTATAATTTCCAACAAATGCGACAATAAATGGGTTTATGGGCCTTTCGAAATTAACCATTACACCCGGGAGGCAATAAACAAAATTCATTGCATCGGACTTTAAAAAAAACGCATAAATAAAGTCATAGCCCAGCAAACCAGCTAAGCCATAAACTCACCGAATAATAAATGAGAGACAGTTTTTTGAACTGAATTTTTAATAGCTCGCACTGCGGACTAATCTATTGGCTTTATAGCTTTGTTTTACTTGAAAATGAATGGCCAGAATGAATGTTCTGTCGTGAACGTTAAGCAAATTAAAATTTATGCACGCAATGCGGCGTTGAAAAAAAAAATTCGCTATCAAAATTTTCAGAATACACCCTCACGGCTCGAAACTTTGACTATAGCGAAACGGACTAGGGTAAGCAAAGCCGCTAAAATCCTCTTTTGGTAGAGTGTGAGGTGACGATGACAATAACATACATCATGCTGTCATTTATATAAACCTTTGACCCATGTTGAATTAAAATAAATTAAGTAGTCTGTGTTCTTCCAGATTATCATCTACATCTATGTAAAATTTCATTGAGATCCGTCCAACAGTTTAGGCTACAGACTCTAACAAACCATCCAACTAAACCTTCGCATTTATAATACTAATAAGATTGCAACGTCTTTATGATAGATAATTGACTCAGAATTAATACGCAAAAAATGAGCACATAAGCAATTGTTGGATTCATTTTTTGTTTACTCTGAATTATACTCTTCACAAGTCCTGCCTCTTAAAAGTCAAAGATCCAAGAGTATGTATGTATTTTATTTATACTCGTCAATAAAATACACGTATTATTTTATTACCATTATTTTTAATCCATAAAATACTCGGATACGTTCCAATTGAATTTCGTGCATTGAAGATATAAAAAAGAAATCTTTTAACAAATTACTTTTTACAAGATTAATTTGTCTTCAATTTGGTTGGTTTTAATTATAACAGAAGATTCTATCGTCTTAAATTAGTACACAAACTGCCCCCTGTATCATGCACTGAACAACGTACTAGTAGTTAGGGGAGGCTGGGAGGCAGCCTTCTTCTTTTGGCCAAGATTTTTTTAATTTCATTAACAGGGTTTCTATGTTTTTTTTTTGTGATTTTTTGATCAATGAACAGTGTTTTATTTTAAAATGTCAATGGAATAAACATTTGTTGATAGCCTCTATAATTACAATTCATTTCCTTGAGTAGTATTTTAGTCTGCTTAAACACTTCATCATCTGAGGCACTACATCCGCGGGTGGGCCTGGGCCTGGTTTGGGCTTTTTGCTTCCAGCCCTTGACGCCGATGTTCTTAAGATCGCGTTCGACGTCGTCTAGCCATCTAAGTTTAAACACTTACTTACTCTAATAATTAACTAAAATATGCAAAATCTTAAGATACTTAATATAACATAAGAGGCACACCTTTGACCAAACTATCGCACAACTGTTTAGTCGCGCTTTGATACCTATGAGTTTATAGAGGTGCCCACACTCGATTTTTACTTGTACAAGTAAACATGAGCGTCAGTGGCTCAGTGGTTTGAACACTTGACTTGTAATCTACAGGTCTTGGGTTCGATTCCCGCCATGTACCAATGTGATTTTCGATTTTTCGAATTTTCATATGTACATAGTTTACCAGACGTTCTTACGGTGAAGGAAAACATCGTGATGCAACCTGCACATATCGGCGAAAAAATTCAAAGATATGTGTGAAGTCAACCAACCCGCATTGGGCCAGCGTGGTTGACTATGGCCTAGCCACCCCATATTAGGGTAGGCGCCGAGCCCCTCAGCGGGGACGTATGACGCTGGTGATGATGAAGTAAACAGTTGAATTGACTACAAAACAACAATCGGACAACAGTTGTGCATTAGTTTAGTCATAAATGGTCGCATGCCAGTTAAGAGTACAAATGGCAATCTCGATATCGAAGCAGTATCCATTTGATCATAAAAAGTAATTGGCTACGTAAAAAGGGTTCTTGTTTTATGGCTAACGGAAAAGGGCATGATAAACAAACCAGGCCCTTCTGTTATAACCGTCCCTACAGATAATTAATGACTTAAAAAAACTATTATAGTTAGGTAACGTAATATATTTTAGTATTGTAACGTTTTCTATGTATAATGTAACTAGCTATACCCGTGTGGCTTCATTTATCAAACTTTATTTTATTGTTTACATTTGTCAAATTCTCAACTGCAAATGTCAAAATTCAAATGCACGCATGACAACAATGGCAATTTTGCTTCCTTGATGTTGGCAGAATGTAGTTTATGGTTCTTTTCCCACATGACAGGTTTTGCTAATTTATTTACTTCTTAAGTTTAATAGCGTAAAAATATATAGCCTAAAGCGTGTCGTAAGTGTAGGGTTTTTCATTTAAGAAATAATTGTTTAAAAATATGCTGTAATTGCTGACATCCTACGCCACAAAGTATTGTGTGTGTTTACACGTTATTATATTAGTATAGAAATAATAGAGAATAGACATTGATAGGCATATATCAGCACTTGCAGTCTATCAAAATCGGTTTCATATAAATTAATACGTCAAAGTACTGCTGTCTATGGGTGTTTGTCGTTGGGCCGATCAGTAAACAGTTTCAACCCAACGGGGCTTTTGCCATCAGATCGATTGATTATACAGATTCAATTGGCGTAATGGGAAAAATCCTATTGAGTCGATTGATCGGTCATCCGATCGGCCGAACGGGAAACACACCTGAGAGTTTCAGTCGCCTTCTGCTTCGTCCGTCGACCTCGCCTTTAAAACAATAGAACTGAAGTATCAAGTATCGATTATGTTCTATCGAATTACAGAACACTTTAATGGATAGGAAATTTACGTCCTCGACTGTACATCAGACGCAAATATCTAAATCAAAGAATTAAAGAATACAACATTACGAATACTTACAGCGCTTCTCAAAGCATTACAACATGTATCCTCATAACATACTGTTAAACAAAAAAAAAACTGAGGACCGAAATAATAAAGAAAGGTCTTCTAAAAGGCATTCTTGCCCGTGACCGGAATAGTAATTCCCTTTTAGCAGACTCTTTGAACGACAATAATTTTGCTAAAAGTATACCGTATCCATTGATATCAGAATATTTATTTTATACCCACTCCTTCAGATGGTTGTCGTAATATTTTATGAGCGTAAATCGGTGCTTTTATTTTCATCAAAAACTATAATAACCTTTATGAGACATATAACCAAGACTCGAGATCTTGACTGATCTTTATGCTACTCCCGCAGCGTATGGGGCATCCGATTTTGCCTTCGGATCCGTCATCACAATCATCACTCTCTTCTTGATCACCTTTCACGCAATCCATCCATTTCTTTCTAGGTCTTACTCTACTGATGTCCACACTCATAAATGTTTTCCTTGTTACATGTGATTCAATAGACTAGAGACGGTTGGTTGAATTGATGCAATAGCATTTTAATTTACGAATTAAGGAAAGAAATGGAGATTTTTCTAGGAGTTTATTCTGACAGTCTGGTGTCAATTCTCATATTATTTGGTGAGAATACGAGCAGTTAATTTCCTTTATGTAGTTGTATTACTTTTAAATTTAATTCTGTCTTATTAGTCAAGTACTTTATTCATTCTTTAAAGCATTTCGTTAACATCTTGTTTCTTAATTTATCTCCATGTTCCTAAAGTAATAACGAACCGAACGATTGTAATTCATCACAAAGACTGTAGCAGATGAAACTTGGCTTCTTTACTTCATTGTTAAAACCAACTTGGTTTCGAGTTCTTTCCGAACACATAAATAATGTAACAGACACATTCGGGGAGGCCGCACTTTTTTGTGTACGCGCTGAATTTGTAAGCTTCAAACCGACACCTTTAGGCAAAGGGTCCAACTGAGGGGAAGACGCGAGATCAGAATAAATAAACAGCAATACCACGAATTTAGGAAGGTTAGAAATGAAGATTCAAATGGGTTTACAATTAATATAAGCGTTTCTTACAATTAATGCAAATTAAATAGACATACAATTTTATTAGTCTTCTGTGATTCAAAGAAAATCGTATTAAAATACGATGATTTTAGATGATATTGCAATCGATTTACTCTCTCTCTCTCTTTCTCTCTGTGTCTATCTATCTCACTTGCTATTATTATTCTCTTAAACTCATTCGCTATGACAATCTACAAAACGATTTAGATCTCAACTTTACATAAAATCAGTAAAACGAAAGGTTACGTTAAAAGACGAGACGTTACGTACAAAGACATCTAAATTGTTAATTCGAATTAGCGAACGTCGCCTTGGAAATGGCAACAAATTTAATCAGAGAGGAAGGGCGGGCAGACCCCGAAGTATGACAAGGCTTAACGATTCGAGGCTCCCCAACAAAGACCTTTGCCAGGCGACGGGACGTAAAATAGAACAATTCGCCTGATATACAGACCGCTAACGACGCTGTAACACAGTCTGCGATGCCGTGACAGTAACGAGGAGATCCAACCTTTGCTAACAAAGATTTGGAAATGTCACGTTTTGATTTTGAATTCTAAATAATATTAAAACTTACTGATTTCAAGAAAGTTATTCTTTAATAATCCTACTAAATGCTATGTAGATAAATGGAAGTTTGTTAAGATTCTCCTCCTAGACGGCTGAACGGATCGCAATGAAATTTGGCATATATGTCTGTCAGAAAGTCTGGAAGAACATGTAGTCTTACTTTTGTTTTTTTTTTTTAATTCCACGCGGAGAGAGGCTCGAGCGATAGCTACTTTAGAGTTAAAATCTCTTATCTTAATATATTTTTCAAAACAAGTAACCTTTTACATTGCTTTGTCAATTTATTCAATCGTAGTACACTGCTATAGATAATTTAGCAAACGAAACCTAACAAATAACATAAGTTCGAAACATTTTAACGTTTTAATGTTCAACTAAGTAACAAAGTCGTTCATTATTAAGGTAATAAATTGTGATCGAAGTCAATTAAGTTAATACTTCTTTATAAGTTAAATAAAAATAACAGAAAACAATAGTTTCCGCTAGAAATATTTTAAAGTCCATTCATTCATCGATAACAGTTATACATGTAATATTAACAGACCCACAATAATTAAAACATGCAACAACATATCCATTAGCTTCAAAACAATTTTACATTCACTATTAAGAGCAACCTTTGTTAAAAAAAAATATTAAAACCTCTTTGATAACTTTCAAACTCACCTCTATTTGTATACTAGCGGCCCGGTACGCTCTGTCTGCCGTGTTCTGAGCTTGACACGTGAACGTTTGATTATGATGTTCCTGCTTGGGGGTCAGCTTCAAAATAGACCTGCGATATTAAAAAAATATTAATCATAAAGTCGTACAAACAATTAAGTTCTAATCTAGATTTCGTCCACGACTTCTTCCTCGTGGAATTAAAAACACCTCTGTGAGTAACCTATATGTTCTTTCAGACTATCCTCTACATCTATACCAAATCTCATCGAGAAAATCACCGTTCAGCTAAGGCTATGAATTCTAACAAACATCCATCCATCTAAACTTTTGTATGTTAGTATTTAATTATTTTAAGTGTTATGGATGTTAACTGGACGATAACTGAATTTAGTAAGTTGAAGACTTATAGGGCGTTATTGTCGCTGCACAACAAAACCCCCTGTAAAAAAATCAAAGCTTGCATTACTATGATTAAAACAGCTTTAGTTGCTACTGATTTATATGTTTATTTGAATTTTTATGTAAATTAATAAATCATTTATATCAATCTAAACAATGTTAGTAACTAGACTGAATAAAACAATAGATGGTTCAAAAGAGATTTCTTCAAACAAATAGAGCACAAACCTTGCTGTAAATCTATGTCCATCTGATAGCGGTTCGATCGTGTTCGTAACACCTTGTGTTATAACTCCAGCGTTACTGTCTACCCACGTGATCTGAAACAAAAAATCATTTATATAGTTTTATAGATCTCCTAAAAGCATGGATATAAAGATAAGAGAATGTTGTTAATATAAAAGTGGTCGAGACGATAAACGATAGTCTGGTTTGAGACATCTTTAACATATTTGGTCGTTGACTCACTTGATGTCTGTCTATAACATTTGTCTGTCTGTCTGTAGGTAACTTTTTATCTGACAATTGAATTGTTCAATTACAATTTTAACGAGTAAGTATAATATTCTGATAAATCTATATCTTACTAATATTATAAATGCGAAAATTTAGATGGATGGATGGATGGAGGGATGTTTGTTAGCGTTTGTAGCCTAAACGGCTGAACGGATCTTCAAGAAATTTGGCACAGGTTTAGAGCATAGTCTGGAAGAACACATAGGCTACTTTTTTATCCCGGGATAAGTTACGGTTCCCGTGGGATTCATTAATTTAGTTTTTTAATGTTTACTCGATCATTCCGCAACGGTTCAACATATCTTATTTAAATTTGGCACAGATGTAAAACAAAGTAATAATATTAATAAGCCTATCCGTTCTGCCAGACTATTTTCTACATTTATACCAAATTTCACCGAAATCCGTTCAGCCGTTTAGGCTAATAAACATCCATCCATGTAAACACACGCATCAGCTAACTAGCTATTAGCGTGTCACCCAAAATAATAATAACTATTTACAATATTAGTAAGAAGTAAGATTGGAATGTCCGCAATGAAATCGCCGTAAACGCTTCAATTCTTTTGATTCCATTAATTGTGAAATATATTAAATATGAATTCTTAGTTAAACATATTAAATAAAGCCATTAATTGCAATCGTTTACGTAAATTAACATGCTGTTGCATTAATGCTTCGACCAGTCTAGATCCAGTCTCCAAGGGATTGTGGATCGACTTTATATCCAGTCTCAATAGGATTGTGGATGACATGATATTCAATTTAAATCCTAATTGTATCCGATCCCAACTTTAACCCAATATTAACCCTATTCCAATGCAATTGAATTCAATTTCTATAACTCTAATGAGGTGACAAATAAGAGTTTCTACATTTTTCTAGATATTAATTGAAGAAATGTCATTATCGTCATCCTCCTTATCCTACTCCCGTAGGGTCGGCACAACAAGTTTTTGTCCTCCAAATAACTCTATCATACGTCATATCAGTCATCACTCTCTTTTTGATCATGTCACCTTTCACGCAATTCACGCAATCTCTTTCTAAGTCTACCTCTACCCCAGGAAGACGGTAACCTAGAGTGTCCTTTGTTGCCGTAACATCGTGGAGCCACAAGAAGAGTTTGAGTGCGGAAGGTACCAGTGTGTTCCTTGGAGATCCCGGAACCTTCGTCAATGTCACTAAAGGATGGCCACCGAGGGGGTTTTAGTAGGTGAAATTCTACATAACCCTGCCTTTCCCCCAGAAGGCAGGGGATTCTTTTGAAGATTCCCCCC